ACAGAATGCCTATCACCCATGGTGTCTGCACAGTATGAGCTGACAGGGTTGACACTTTCCAGGTCCGTTTGATTAAACAGTATCATCTATTAGGACCCAGAAAGCATGCTTTCTCTGTCATGGCACCGGCCCACTGGAATCTTGTTCCTCCTGAGATCCATGTGGCTGCCACCCTGATGGCATTCCATAAAGATCTGTCTGTTGTCCTAGGCCATGGGTTAGAGTTGCCCCTGTTGGATATTTGCATGTATGGGTATTGTTGGTTGGATTTGCCATCTTGTTCTTTGTTCTTTTCCTTTTTTATCATTCTATTTCCATTGTATCTTCTACCTTGTTTAGTTTTATTATAAGCTGCCCAGAATCAGTCTAGAGTTGGGTGGTGCCTACACTGAATAAATTGAATTAGATTTTCAACATTCTAATAAAATTAATGATTTTATTTCATCTTTTTTTTCCCTTAGACACTAACATTTGTAGCATTTGTTTTAAGTCCATTCTTTGACAAAACATTATGATTCCCATACAGAGCTCATATATAATTATCAGCAATTTTCATTCAATTTTATCCTATATTATTTCATCACTTTTATATTTCATTCTATTCACTCCTTCTTTAGCCCATTTCCTCTACTTGCAGAACAAACTGTTTACTTTCATCAAAAAAAACCCTACCCCAATATTACTGAAAGGGTGTCAAAACATTGAGAGCTAATGATAATTTATTGTTTCCATTCTAGGCATAGGTATATATTACAGCTAATAACAGTATGTCTACTTCCCTTAGTACCAGCATTTAAAACTGAGAAGGTGGGACAAATACACATAGCAAGAAAGGCCACAGCACTTTGCCGTTCTTCCTACTTCCTGAGTTCTCATTGTGTGTATAGAAGGCAGGATTACTTCGAACAAACCAGTACAGAATCCACATATAGAAGTTGACTCCTTTCAATGAACTTTTTGTTAGATGACAGAGAATACATATATATAAATGGCTTGAATTATCTAACAACCAAAATTAGCTGATATTTATTCCCTGTGGTAATGGCTACTGATATATTGATTTCTATACCTTTTTTAAAACTATATTTCTAATACTGATCCTGAATCTAATAATGTACTTTTGTGCCTCATTCAAACTAATCTGTACAGCTTACGTTAGCTTCCTTTCTCGTGGCATTAATTCACTAACGAGGTCTATAGCTGAACATGAAAACTGTCCTTAATCCACCTTAACATGTTTATCTCTTGATGTGTGCCTGGCATTGAGGTCAGGCAGCACTTAAGGATCTTTGGAATGTCTTAGTGTGTCGTTTGGATTTGGCAGTAGACATTCATCCTTGCTTCTAACTCACATTAGTTTTCAGTTTGCATGCTCAGAATGCATATTACATTACCAAAATAATCTGTTCACTTATAGCCAGAAGAAAATGCATTGCATTACAATAAAAAATGCTAATGTGATAGAAAATCATATTCTGAATCAAGAATATGATTTGACTGCAGTCAAAAGATAGCATAAGGTAATACTTTGGTGTTACTGAGATGTAACTTTGAAAATAAACTGCAAATACTAATTAGCTTTGATTTTTAAAAAAAGTTATGCTAATTCTGCTCTCCGCAGAATCACATTATTTAAAATCAGCAAGAAAAGGCACATTTAATTTGATTTTAAAAATTCATTGCCAGAACGATATTAATTCTCAAGCCAAAAGGTACAATATTTCTTCTTGGTAAACAGTGCAATAATCACTAATGTCTTTCAACAACAGCTTTTAAAATAATTCTATATCTCAATCAGTGCTGCCAAATCCCATTTAAAATGTGGGGTTTTTTGGAACTGATAAATAGTATCAGAAGCAGTCATAAGATTGCAGTGGTTAAAGCAAGAGAAAGGCTTCCTTTAGAGTAATTCTGGCTACCATGAAATGTTTGTGCTGCACAAAACAACAAACAAAGGGATGGCATCCATTGAAATTCTGCTTTCCTGTTGACTTGTATTGACAGAGGGACCTGAAGGGACCAAGATTGTGAGGCCAAGTTGGCCAGGCAGCCTTCAGCTGCAGAATTCAAAAAATGTGGTGGGGAGTGCATTTGGCAGGAAACTGGAGGAAGGAATAGAAATAAACATGAAGTAATCAGGAAAGCATGACACTACCTTTTAATTATGAGATGTTCTCTGCAGCATTGGAAAAGTAATGTGAGATTACAGAGACATATTTCAGTATGAGAAGATCAAGATTTTAATCAAATTATATATGGACATGCCCATTAAGAAACCTCTCAAGTATTGCTACTGTTTGGCACTCATCTACTGTGAGAATATGTGACTAAGATAAAGACAAGAAGAAGACAAGGCAACTTTTGGGGGGTTTGGAGCAGAATTTTTTCACTGATTTCTTTATCCATCATATTTTTCACTGCCTTTAAAGGTAAATATGATCTCAAGATCTCTTCCAGGAAAAGTACAAGCAATCAATGCTAAGTAAAAAAAAAAAAAAAGTAGTGATTCTAAAAACAAACATTGACCTTCCTAATATCTAAAGTTTTGCCAAAATTTTAAGATTTCATATGTCTACAATATGATACTGCAGACTTAGCTGTTGCTGCATAGGTGGGAATAAGTCCGGTGGTAGAACTGGTAAGACAGCAGGATTTAGACAAATATTAAGAGAAACTTCCTAACAGTTCACTTGGTGCTATTCTACATCAGAATTAACTGGCAAAGGAGGTATTATACACAAACTAATTACGTGATTTGGATACTTTCTTGACAATTAGTGTTATACAGTATATAAAAACAGACATAAATAAGCTACTCAGCTTAAATGAAGCCATTTGCATTGTCTCATGTCAAATTTATGAAGGATGTTCTTGAAAACAGAATGATACCATATATTAGGATGGCTATTTTATATAAGATAGAAACTGACTGTCAGTAATGGGACTTTATGCTTCTAGCATAGGAGGAAGTTCCTGTGGAACTGGTCCAAAGGTTCTTTGTTGTTTATTCATTTTAAAACAACTATTTCCAATTGCATTTAAACTGAAGGATTAGAATAATCCTATGATTTCATAACTTTATTCTAAACAAATAAACTGGCATGTAATACAGCAAGGACCAATCCATGCAAGGAAAATTGTTTTTGCTAACGTTCACCCATCCTTCCTCTTACCCAAAACATTGGAGAGAAGGAAGAATCTTCTGCATTTAGATATGCACTTCCTATGTAGAGAATGTAAACAATCCAACCATTTATATATGCAACTGCAGCAGGCAAGCAACTTCAGTTCACCTTCACATATTTTGCTACCAGATGACTTCATGAATAACATCTTGTTTTCTGCCAGCACAGTAGCATATTCTTGACATTATCTCAAACATGGGTTGGGACTTCAATGGCAAACAGATAATAGTGATGCTAAATAAATGCACAAAAGCACTTGAGGAGTTATAAGATACTATGTGGCAGGCTGACTCATCTACATACTGTGTCATACTAGTTCTTGGGCTCCAAAAGGCATTTAATAAATTGGATTAGCTTATGTTAATTATATGTAAACTAAATACAACATACTTGGATTAATCTCTGAATTGCACCAGGTCCTATGAGAGACTGATGTTGTAAGTATATAAGTATACTATAATAGTATAGACATTCCAGATATAATGCTAATATTCTACTTCTCAAAACAACAATATAAAAACAATAGTATAATCTACTTTATTTAAAATAAAAGAATGTCTAATCTTGAGGAGTGCATATCTATAAATTAGTAATTACAATATACATTCATTTCATTGTTCACTTTTGCGAAATTACTAAGAATTATGAAATCATGCAATACTAATACTAATTGTTTTTAAAAATATTGTTACAGTTAGACTTGATAAGAAACTTCTGATTGATTCAGTGAATCATGCTTTGTATTAAACTTTGGCTTAAAGAAAGCTAATATGATTCTATTGCAGATGGTGTTTGGATTTTTTAAAATAATCTTTAAAAACCATGTGTTTTGTTCTCTCTATCTTCATATTTCTACCAAAATTTCTGCAGATAAATAATCGGGATATTTTTATTATGATAAAAATTGATTAATTATATTAAAATCTTCCAGGCAATCAAAATTTACTGAGAACAAAGTATAATTTATTTTTGACAAGCTACCAAGAATGTCTGCAAGGAAACAAGCAGAAGTAAATGTAATATTGAATTTTGAACAATGAAGATCCAAACACACCATGTGAACATTTAATGCAAAGTTTAAAACTGCAGCTATATATTACAATTAAATGCTAGTTCAGATAAAAAAGAACAAGAACAACCCTAATTATTAAAACATGCCACAAAGCTCTTGTATTCACATTCACTCTAAAAGTAGATTCATATTCATGTTTGTCTCTGCTAGAGGTACAAAGATTGTAGCCACAAGCACACTGTTGTTTCCAATTAAGTCTAACAATTCACTGAGATATTAATTCACTAATTCCAAGCAATATCTATAACATTATCTATTACTTGTACAGAACAGAGAAAAGTCATCAATCTATGTCTTGATCCTAGTAACTATAAACATTGATGATGTTGACTTATGAAAACAAAGTTTGCTTCAATCTTCTTAAACAGGAAATATATATTTATATCATACTATATTCTACCAAAAGCAATTTATTGTTTTTAGGTTCCCAACTGACTTATCAATATAGTCTCTCTTTTTAAAAAACATGGTAAAATGCCATCTTACATCTCAACCACAATTTATTAGGAGGGCTCCAGTATCTATGCTGTTTACACTCTTAGATTTTATATACACATCAAAACATTCTCCAAGTTACTTTGTTCAATCCCAGATCATCTAACCAACAGCCTCTTAAAACACAACCAGCCTGTATTTTTAGCAGCTATTAACTGATTCGAAACGGCACTACTAACTCAATATCTTCCAATTATCTTTTTATAACAAGGTCCTTGTTCTCTCAGCTGTATTCTCTTTAGACTTACCAACCCTTCAGGATCTTTACTCACTCCATTGTTGCATCCATAATAGTCTGGAATTTTATCTGCATCTTGCACACTCCCTTGCACTCTTACACCCTTGTCTGTGCGGCAAGCTTGGCAAATGGGTGCATTGCCCATATCCTCCTGTTAACTCCTGTAGTGGGTTTGACCTCGCAGATATGGAATATTCCAAAAGGGCAGATGACTTTTGAAAATCGAGACTGATATTTGTAACTTCTATTATTTGCTCTCCTGAGATTTCTTTGGCAGAGATTTCTCTCTACTGGCTGCCCTATGTTAAAAAGAAACTTTAGCGACTATAGCCAGCATTCAGTGACAATTTCCAATTCAGGCTCTGCCTGTCTATTTTTACACCTACTAGCCCAGCTATGCATGTAAACTGAATGGGGAGGGAGGCAGCCTGACTAGCTCTGAGTTAAGGCCCTACTGTGTGAAATGCCTTCACATACGAAGGTTATTGAATTACCCAGCTGCATGCCTTTGAATGTTTTGATTTTTTTTCTCTCCCTACTACATTATACATCAATGCTTGCTTACAGCACTACATTAATGCTGCTCATTTCTAAGAGGAGGGGCAGAAAACCTTTTACTGTAAAATGATCTCTATTAGGAATTTATCATACAAGCACTACCAGAATATATGGAGATACTTTTAAAAAAGGGACATTTAATGGACAATTACAGCATATTTGTAAATCATGCTGATTTCTTTCTTCATTGGATTTATGAGTCATACTGTCCAGAATTCTTTTTCACAATTTGCAGGACTATGGCATCTGAGTAGTCTCCAAACTACACAATAGCTCAAATATGTAACATGAAACTATCTATCTGATTTATGGTAATATAAATGTGTTTTGGGGACAGTCCTAATCATAACTACCATATGAAGGTGAGGGATGCTGAAATTTTCTCCAACCAACAGCTTACTTCCAACTCCCCCAAGTGGGACTTTAAAAAAGCAAAAAAAAAAAGCAAAAAAAAGCAAAAAAAAGCAAAAAAAAATTGAAATCTAGTTGTAAAAAAACCAATAAAGAGATCTATCTTCATCCAAATTTGACAGCCTTTCTAGAACAATACTATGCAGGATGTCATCAAGATCTGCTGAAAGGAAAGTTTACAGGGTTGTGGTCTCCCCATCCCATGTATCCCTGTCCCGATAGAGGGATCCTATAGGATGCACAAGACAGTTTAAATGTTTTAACTAGGTTTAAGGAGTCAGTAAACCATTCTTATTAAGTACCATATACTTGAATGTTTGTCTGGGATAACTTTCAGGCAGTGGGAAATACACTTAAGATCTTAAGTGTCTAATTGTTGTTTGTTCAGGCATGTCTACTGCTACAGGGATGGGCAATATTTTAGCCTGAGGACACTTTTTCTTGCCTTAAATTGTGGAGGTGTAGTTGATGATGTGATGGCATTACTGGAGCAGGCTGGGTCAATTTGGGGTAACTACACAATCTGTAAGAGTTTTAAGGGATCATTTCCCCCCCCCCCATCCCCTCAAACAAACAAACAAGATAGATCCCAAAATCTTTGGCCAATCAACGCAAGGCAGAACTGTAGAACACACCCATGGGGGGTTAGATGTCCTCAATCAACCCACATTTTTTCACCCCTGGACTATTTCTTTAAGGAACTTGGGGCAATTCCCTTTTAGGCCAGAATGTTTCCGTTTGCAAGGAAACATGGCACAACAGGCCACCAAGAGTTTTTAGAAAGAACAGTGCTGTCTTACAGTCAGTTTTATTGCATACATTAAAAGCAAGCAACTGAAATCTTTTTGGACATGTATTGATATAGAAATAAGTATATAGTCTCCAAATAGCCAGTTAGAGTCAAATGCAACTGGGGCAGTATAACAGTTTCATAAATAAATATATAATATAGAAAATATCCAGCATATAACCTCAGTATAATGAAGATAATAGGAATTTGACTATGGTTTTAGTTTTGATGCCATTTTTGGAAGGCATACTGATTTTGTACAAAATAGTTTCCATTCTGCAGTCTATACCACTCACTTGAAAGACTCTAGGTATTTACAGTAACCATTGCATCATTTTTAATAAGAAATCCCCAAACAAAATGAAAACAAAACTAATGTCATTTTTAAAAATATTATTAAAAAGGCAGCCCATCGCAATTAGGAACCAAATGTCATTGAGGCAGAATCTTCTGAAAGGCTACTAAATTGGGAGTCCACTAATCTCAGGGAGTCATCAAGAAGGACCACCTTCAGGCTGTTATCACTTTTATTTCACATGGTACAGTAAACCCAGCATTCCATTTTGTGTTTTTTTTTATGATAACTTTATTATATTTCAAAGTACAGTTAAAATGCAAAACAAAGAGTACAGCAAAGATAGAAAATAGAACTACAGTG